TTTAGGCAATTCTGACAATGAAAAAGTTAGCTTTATTGACCAATGCAGCTAACCTACCCACAAAGGAACTGATATATATATGCAGCCAATCAACCCCCCCAAAAACATTTATTTGATTCTACAACCAAGTAAGTTTGGAAATTGTAATTGATAAAACAGCAAGTTCTAAATCTCAGGACAAAATTCTTGGTACAAAATACCAAGCTGCCCTTTAAGAAAAGAGATGAACAGAGTTGGGCAACTATAAGTAATAATCTGCATTGCTAAAGGCTACATCAGAAAGAGAGACAAGTCAGACCCATCTAGCATTAGCGTAAGCATAAAAATGGTTTTTGGTTTTTCATTTTCCTTTCCCCCCCCCCTCTATTTTAATTTGTATTGGTCTCATTCTTGTGTTTAAAATTCTCAACAAAAGTATACACATATACAGAGTAATACAGTAACCATACCACAGTAAAAGATACATAATATAATGCAATATAGAATGCCACAAATTTCAAAATACAATATAAATTAGACACAATCCACCCAGAGTCAAGCTTCCCAAACATTGTTAGCTGCAGTGTTTATGATTTGAACAGATATGCAATTGTCCTACAGAAATAACTGTTCTTGTAATTCAGTTTTACTGGACAGTAGCCATAATGTATAACATGCACTGCACTAAAAATGCCTGTTTATTTAGAGAAGTTAAGAAAGAAAGCTTAACAAATTTACGCTAAAACATTATTGAATGATTTTAAGCCAGTTTTAATTTGGGTTTATTCACAGAAAATATATTACTTTCCTCTATCTCAATTTATTTGTCCTTTGTGAAATCCTACTGCTATATAAACAAATTTCTTCAGGGAAGCAAATCAATAAAATGCCTAATTTGATTAGCCATGTTTTAAAATTCATCAAGGTAACTTAACATAAATAAACTGCTTACTTGTCAGTATTTTCCATGTCTTCTTTTCATCATCGTAATACTGAACCAAATTGCTGGGAAGCCGGTCAGGTCCAGGAGGCAGCCCTCCAACCAATAAAAGCATTTTCTTATTGGAACGAATTCTTCACCCCCAAAAAGAGAGAAGATAAATATCTTATGTTACTGGAGAGTGCTTTAGCAATAGCAATCAGAAACCTCACAAGAATTTTCACTGCTTACAATTTTCTATTCACTTTTTTTTGTTTCTTTTTCTTATGTCTCAACAACTTTCTGAATCAAGCAGAAAAAAAATAAACAGAAAAGCTGTGCAGCCCTCTACTTATGGGATAATACATTTTCTTTATGCAATTTGTTAAAGGTTCATTCTAGAATGACCTTTTTCTTCATATCATTCCCTTAAATCATCACTCTTTACAGCTGAACGCACACACGGAATGCTCTGGAGTTGTACTAAGGTTAAGCATTAAAGTTGCATGTCAAAATCGTATTAGGCAAAATTATTATTATAAGCCATTTTAAGCCCAAACAACCATGAAAAAAAACCTAAGGAGATGCCACCTAAGCTAAGTTGTCTATGCCCCAAAAGAAACCATTGAGATAGCACCCTAATAGTACGATGGCCTGGGTGCCAAGTCCCTGACAAGTTTCATAATTGTTACACTTGCTTTCCAAAAATTCTTATTCCATCATTTTATTTCCCAAATGACAGTTTACAGTTTACAGATGTTATTCCACATGGAGGACTTTCAAGTGAGGGAGGAAAACAAGAAACTAGAGGGCAGAAATAAGGGAAATTCTGGGGAAACAGTGAGAAAAAAAGGTCCTGCATAAAAAAAAAAAACATCAAAGATTTCAGCTTTCTTTCCTAAGATTGCAGATCGAAACCAGAACCCTTCTATGTAAAAGCAGTAGATCATCCCTATTTCATTGTTCCTTCTTTCTGTGCTTCTCTTCACTATAGTTCTTACTGTTTACAAAGAGCTGCCCTCTATTGGTCTCTGCAATTTTTGCATCCAAATCTGGTAATCAGATTTGTTGAATGTGTGGGACAAGGAAAATTAAAGCATGTCCTGCATGCCCCAAGTCAGCTGCTTCCCAGCCTTCCCCATGTTTATGCCATCACAGAATGCAAAGAATTTGCAAGCCAACACCCTAATTACATACTTCAAGTTAAATTCCAACATACCGGTACAATTAGAAGCATTTCAACAATAGTTACATATTGTACTCTACTTAAATCTGAATAACCTTTCTGATGATTACTTTAGCCTGGCCTTACAATTTCCTCTGTTCTGCCCCCATGTCATTGCCCCTCCTGTCTTTGCTTCCCACTGGCTATAGCAACACCAATTGGTAAAAATGAGAATGTGATGTTGTTGAGAGCCTCCCCAGAGTGGAGCCCTGCCAATGCCTGCCACTGATCCAGCAGCATGAACCTGCTCAACTGTGCAAAGTCACTCTAATTCCCTCCCTCTGTTTTTCTACCTTCTCCCCCAGGGGGCAGCCACTGAGAAGAGTGACTACCCACCCATCAAGAACTGGCAATTCGCTGCTATTAACCGTGACCGTGATTCCCAATCTGTCTGGCAGTTTTTAAGAACAAGGCTTCAACGTCTCATAGGCAGTAAAAGCTGTAATATGCACCCTGGCCTCCATCGCTATACCTGATGAATGCACATTTCTTTGGAACACTAATGGTCTTAACACAAATTCAAGAGAAGAGAGGACACCTAGACCCCTAGATGACTACTGATTCTTTAATAGTCACTTTACATATAATTGAGTTTCTATCAGCTATACAAAGCCTGGAAAGTAATAAAAGCCAAAAAAGGGGAATCGTGATAAAGTAATTCATTCTAGTATAATAAAAAATAACATACATAGCACAGTATGTGTCCAAAATAATGTATCACTACATCATACCAGTTTTTGTGTTGCTGAGCTACTTGAGATTACCAAAGTTAGTTTCTATTGTTCACTGTATTAATCCTTCACACAACTGTATTAATCCTTAGATTTCCTTTCCATTCATCATTCTGCATTATGACTGAATTATTTGGGCTCATGTGGAAAGTGGGCAACATTTCTGATGTATATGCTTAGTGATAATTATAATAATAATCTCTGGTTTCAAAAGAAAAGAAAGTTGATATCATTAGTGAGTCAATTCCAAAACATCCAGAGCACCATTTGAACAGCACTGGCTTTGACAAAATCACTAGTCAATTGCAAAAGGCTGCTTTACTTGTAACCGCTTACAATACTACCTTTAACACTATCAAACAATAACATCTGTCTATCCCAGATCCTTAGGAACTACTTGATGGATAAAAATACCAAATCCAGTCTACACATAGATGACTTTGTGACCAATCATAATAACAAAAGTTCCAGAGAGGGAACTTTATTACCAATATCAATGTGCTGTAATATCAAAAAGATTCATCTGCTTAACATATAGTGTAGAGGTACATAATTGGCACAGTAATCTACTAGAAACAACCAAGCCAAGTAAAGACATTTGAAGCGTTTTCTATACAGTCTATAATTAGTATGTTAAGAATGAATTAATAACAATGAAAACAAAAAGTTCTTACTGAGAAAGCCTACTGTAATGTGCAAAAAGTTATGCCAATGTATCAAAATATGGTGCATATCATAGTACATAATATATAACATAACACTGCCAGAATTATGCTACTCATTATTTTGTCTTAGGATGGTTTTACATTAAGCCTAACCAACTCAAGTTCAGCAGCTGCATCAAGAAAACTGTGCTCATGTCCAAAAGTGCTGCTTATCCCATTTTATCTATGCCATTAATAGCTTTCAATGGGACATTCCCACCTTGATCTTGTTGAAAACTGGGTTCAGAAAACAGGTCATTTGAAATTATGGTACTGGAATGAAAGTGTTAGATCTTTCCTTTCCCCTTTCCCCCACCAGTCTATCTCCCCCCTACTTCCTGCTTCTTCTCTTTTCCCCAATGTCCATGCTAATATAACTCTATTTGGCTCCAAAGAACACTGAACAAAATCATTTGCCCAGCAATGGTGGAGGCAGCATTCCCACTACTCCTCGCATTTCAGCACATAGATACAGCATTGTGCTAAACATTAGAAAGGGGAAGGAGGAAAAAAACTAGCGCCTTTTGTCATTAGTGTCATAAAAGCAAAAGCAAAGCTAAAGAGGAGAAAGATATGGAAGGGTGAGAGAATGGTTTGAAAAACTGTTCCTCACTAACTCAGATGCAATTCAAATTTGTTAATAACTTTTGGGATAGTAATTCATCCTTTGCAATGGGAAGAACATTAAAAATATTTCTGGAGTCCTTTTCTGAATTGTGTTCAGATTACATTCAGAATTTCTGATGCTTAAGAAACTATGCGGAATGTTTGCCATTTTACAATATGCATTTCAATAAATACCTAACCTTATTATAAAAAGTAGTAGCAATTACCATGAAATTTCTTCTAGTATGTGTTCATAAGTATATGAAGAAAGTTGCTTAGAATTAGTTTTCTAACCAATCAATTTTAAATATTATTAAGATTGTCTCTTATAATAAAATGTATAAAGAAACCTAATATAGATAAGCCTTAACAAAGTAGTAAGTGTAGAACTGGGATTATTCTGATCCTCAAATTCAAAATCAGTTAAGCAGGACTATCTCCAATCTGATGATTGAATCATAAAAAATTCCATATACTTCAAATTCTTTGTGTAGGAAATAGTTTATAATAATTTTAAATGTGAGATGTGTATGCGTAAATATATTACAAGAGCCTGAGTGATGTTAAGCGATAAGTCACTTAAGCATTGTCATCCTTAATAAACAAATAAATGGGACATTGTCTTACCTGAACGCCTTTTCTCAGTACGGAGATGGAGAATCCACCAATGTGTTTTCTCTGTCTGCCTGCTCTTGAGACCAAGTAGCCAAACTTGACACGCTCCCTCTTGCTAGGAGATCCAGTCTTAACGAGGGCGAAAGTGGCTGAAGGTGGACGAGGTGTTGGCTCTCAAACCCTTAAATCCGGCCTAACTGACCTAAAGGATGGGTGTGGATTCTCCATCTCTGTACTGAGAAAAGGCGTTCAGGTAAGACAACGTCCTTTTCCAGTACAGGAGATGGAGAATCCACCAATGGGATATACCAAAGCCTCACTGTCCCGATGGGTGGGAAACAGATAAAGCCGGAATAATGTCCCCGGAGACCACCTGCTGAAGGACCCTCTGACCAAATGAGGCGTCCGCCAAAGCAAAATGGTCAATCCTGTAATGGCATACAAACGGGGAGGCCGAGGACCATGTCGCAGCCCTGCAAATCTCCTCGATGGACGCCTGAGTGGCCCATGCTGCAGAGGTCGCAACACTGTGAGTGGAATAGGCAGTAAGATGATTTGGAGCCAGCATGGAAGAGGACTGGTACATCTCCACAATACAGGCCCTGATCCACCTGCCAATAGTGCCAGCAGAAACCTTCTGTCCCAGGGAAGCCGGACGGAAGGAGATAAATAGGGCCTCAGATCTACAAAAAGGCTCAGTGCACTTCATGTAACGCCACAGTGCCCTGCGGACGTCCAGTGTGTGCCACTGCCACTCCAAGTCATGGGAAGGATTTGGGCAAAAATTTGGCAAAATGACTTCCTGTGCCCTATGGAAGAGCAAGTTGACCTTGGGCACAAAGGCGGGGTCCAGATGAAGGACCACCCGATCACTGTGAAAGATACAAAAGTCAGTCCTGACCAAGAGAGCAGCCAGCTCAGAGATACATCTGGCTGACGTGATGGCGATTAAGAATGCAACCTTAAGAGACAGGTTCCGCAACGGAACAGTAGCTATGGGCTCAAAGGGTGGTTTTGTTAGAGCGCGAAGGACACGAGGCAATTCCCAAGAGGGGTACCTGTGTACCATGGGAGGCCTGGTATTGCACGCACCCTTGATGAAGGCGCGAATCCTAGGATGGTGAGCCAAGGGAACTGAATCCGCACAAGTGAGTAACGTTGACAGGGCTGCCACCTGTCTGCAAATAGTCGCAGGGGCCAGGCCTCTGTCCAGACTGTCCAGAAGATAATCTACGATCTGAGGGATGGTCAATTTGTAGACATCCAGTTGTCGCCTTCTACATCAATGGCAAAAAATTTTCCAAGTAGAATCATAAATGTGATTGGTCGCTGGGTGATGAGAGGCCTGAATCATGGTAATTGCATGGGGGGGAAATAATTCTTGTGTCATGATGCTGCGCTCAAGTGTCAGATGGTCAACTGTAACCATTGAGGGTCCGGGTGTTGGAGGGTCTCCTGGTGTAAGGACATGCGATGTGGAGGAATCTTCCACAGAGGAGACCAGGAAAGATTCACCAAGTTGGCAAACCATGGCCGCTGTGGCCAGTACGGGGCCACGAGTATCACTTCCGCCTGCTCCTGGAGTAGTTTGCGGATGGTCGCCAGTATGAGTGGGAGGGGAGGGAAGGCATAGAGGAGATCTTGGGGGCACGGGATCCGCAAGGCATCTGTCCCCTCCACTCCTGGAAGAAAATAGCGGGACTAGTACCTGGGGAGTTGGGCATTGGTTGACGATGCAAACAGGTTGAGGATTGGATGGCCGAACCTGTGGGAGATCTCGGAAAACAGATCTGGATGCAACCCCCACTCTGAGGGGTCCACCGTAGAGCGACTCGAAAAGTCTGCCTGGTGGTTCTCCACCCCTGAGATGTGTTCAGCCCTGAGAGAGGCCAGGTTGGACTCTGCCCAGGAACCCAGGAGCCGTGCCTCGGACATAAGGGACCTGGACCTGGTGCCCCCCTGACAATCGACGTGTGCCTTGGACGCCACGTTGTCCGTAAGGATCAGAACATGAAATCCCCTGATCCAGTGCCTGAATTGGTGAAGAGCTAAGTGGATGGCCCTGAGCTCCAGCCAATTGATGTTGTGTCTCAAGTCTGCGCGGGACCAACAGCCCTGCACAAACTGAGACTGTAGATGGGCTCCCCAACCAAATAGACTGGTGTCTGTCGTAATGGTGATGCGGTCCAGTTCCTTGAAGGATGATCCCTTGGTCACCGCTTGTGAGAACCACCAGCGCAGAGACCTGAGGATGTGAACTGGGACCCTGACCTGACGGTTGGATGCACTGGCATTCACCTGCTGAAATGGTAGGAGGAACCATTGGAGGTCCCGCAAGTGGAGCCTGGTCCAGGGACCTATGGCTATGCAGGAGACCATCTTTCCCAACAGTTGGGAGAGTAAGACCAGTGGAATGGTACGGTCCCTGTACACCTGGTCCCTGATGCTGACCAATCGCTCCTGGGAGAGATAGACCATGCAGTTTGTGGTGTCTATGACGGCTCCCAGGTGCAGAAGCCTGGATGAGGGAACCATCTGGCTTTTTTGGAAACTGACTGAGAAACCATGTTGTTGGAGGACCTGAATGATGAGTTTCAGGTCCGCCTGAGCTGCCTGGAAGGATGACGCTTGGATCAGGATGTCATCCCGGTAACACTGGATGCGTATTGGTACCTTCCTCAATTGGGTGGCTAGTACGTCCAGAATCTTGAACACTCTGGGTGCCGAGGAAAGGCCAAAAGGAAGGGCCTTGTACTGGAAATGCCTGCCTCTGTAACAGAACCTGAAAAACCGTCGGTGAGCTGGATGGATGGGTATGTGGAGGTATGCTTCCGTGAGGTCTATTGACGCTAGGAAGTCTCCTTGTCTGATGCCCCCCAGGATGGACCGGAGTGATTGCATCTTGAACTTTTTGTAAGTGATGTAATAGTTTAGACCCTTGAGGTCCAGGATCGCTCTCCATACCCCTGAGGCCTTGGGGACCACAAAGAGGATGGAATAGAATCCCCCTCCTTTGTGGTCTGGCGGTACCGGTTCTATGGCCTGAATCTCTAGAAGATGTTTAATGGCCTCCTGCATGAGTCCTTGTTGGAGTGGATCCCGGGAAATGGAACAGGTAATGAATCGGTCCGGGGGGCTGGCCAGAAATTCCAGGGACAGACCAAACTGGATGGTTTGTAAGACCCAGGTGTCCGTCGAAGTGAGTTCCCACTGATGGAAGAAGTGGACCAGCCTTCCCCCGATGGGAAGTGCAGTGTAAAAGTCACTTGGACCTCCTGTAGGGGCGTCCTGCCCCTTGAAATGGCCGCTTAGATTGACTCTGCTGTCTGGACCAAAAGCCCGGTCTGTCATACGGACGGTCGTACAGCCTATCCTGTCTGGGTGTGTATGAGTGGGAAGGCTGAGTGACTGCTGGGCCTGCCGCTGGCCGAAAGGACTGCCTGCAGAAATAGGGAGCAGGCCTATTTGTCGGCCCGTTTGTTCAAGTGGGCTATGACCTTCCACTTGTCCTTGTTCTCCACAAGGTATGGGACCAGGGCCTCTCCAAAAAGATTATTACCCAGATAGGGAGCAATTGTGAGATGCCATTTGGCTTTGGCGTCAGCCTGCCAGTGTTTCAGCCAAAGCATCCTCCTGGCTGTAACGTTGGATGCTAGAGACCTAGAAGCAAAGTTGGCCAACTGAAGCATTGCGTCCGCAGCATACTCAGTGGCTGCCACCATTTTGCTTAGGTCCTGATGGGTCCGAATGTCCTCAGCAGGGACCCTAGCCTGAAGCTGACACAGCCATCAAAGGGTGGTACACACAAAGAAGGACACACAAGTGGCCGTTTTGACTGCCCATGCTGCTGATTGATGGGTCTTCTGGAAGGTCTGGTCCCACTTTCTGTCGTCTGCTTTAAGCACCTCCGAAATGTCCCCAGCGACCGCAGTCTGGGAAACCAGAGGGGTCCAGGCTTCATCAACCTTGGGGACCTCCAGTGCATCAGTGAGGTCTATGGAGGTGTTGAAAATCTTTTGTCAGACCCGCTTACGGAAGGGAAAGAGGAAGGAGAGGCCCATTGTTTTTGATCCCCTTGAGAAAAATAGAGGGACACGGAATGTGATGTTGGGCTGCCACCATCTCAAAAAATATCGGATTTGGACTGGAGTCCGAAGTTGCCTGCGGCTGGGGGAACTGGTCGGACCCTATGTTTGCTGTTGAGATGGCTTTGCGAAGCAGGGGAAGAAAAAGGGCTGGATTGAACAGGCCTCCTGATGGGGAGGGTTCAGGTGGAAGCTCCTCCTCCTCAGATAAATTAAATTCCGGCTGCTCCTTGCCTTGCGGAGAAGAGTAACCGCTCATGGAGGAGTGTGCAGGAGATGTGGGTTCCTGAAGAACAGGAAACCCCGTGGAGGGAACATAAGGTGGCATGTCGATATGGAAGCCCCTTGTCCAGACGGATGAAAGGACCTTTCTGCTAGGGCGCGGTCCACAACCTTGGATAGTAAGGCCTCAAGACGTCCATTGGAGAAGATGTCTCCGATGTCTGGACCCCTGAGTCCTGCAGCTGTAGGAGTAAAGGTGGCTTCTGGGGCTGAGCTTGAGGCAGTTGTTGTCTGTTGAGCCAATACAGAAGGTGAGCTGAGGGTGGCAGGCGTCCCTGTGAGAGGCCACACGTCTTGGGCTGAGGTTGAAGGGCCTACAGGAAGGTCAAATTCAGTAACCACCATTAGATCCGTCTCTAATCCGGCCTGTCTCTGCATTCTGGAGAACTCCTTCTCCAGAGCCTGGTGCCTACTGCTGCCTTGCTTTTCCGCCAACTTGGAAGGCTTCTTGAGAGTGGTCTTAGCCTTACATTTGGGCTTGCCTGCTGCCTCCTGTTCAAAGGATTTGTGCTGGCTGTAACTAGAGGATGGGGAGGCAGTGCTCATGGGTTGAGGCATCGTTGTGTCCTCCATCCTGGTTGAGCAGTCTCAGGGAAACTGAGACGAAGCTCTGGCAGGCAAGCTGTTGGCGGAAGCGAAATTGGAACAAGTAACAAGACTACCTGACCACCTGACCAGAAAAAAACTTCTATCTGGGCTTTGGTCATGGCACTCGAGTCAGATGCTGAAGGCATGGTTGGGGACCCGCTCTAGGCTCTGCCCGGAGGCCAGTCAAGGTGGCCAGTCAAGGTGCACCAGAAAAGGCAAAAACTCCCAATGAAGGGTGCAGAGGGCCTGAGACAAGGCCTCGCAAGAAAGGATCAGGTTCAAAGTGGTGGCTGGTCAATGTGTTAAATTACAATAAATGATTTGTGGCGGTTTGAGGATCTGGCCTCTAATAATTTAGCCTACTCTGCCAAAAAACCCACACTGTTAAGGTGATGAGGCCTGCAGGCAGTTGCTGGTGCAGGGCTCCAATGTGGCCTAGTTGGATGTCCGCGTGGCATTTCAAAATGGCGGCCGCTGTTAAATTAACGGGCTGTGGTGGGACCGAAGGACTCTGGCCCTAAAACACCAAAGGCCTATCCCAAGAATCAGGAAAAGGCCCCAAACGAGTGAGAAAAGGAAAGTGCTTTTTTTCCTACTTTGTTTCCTGGGCGGCAGCCCCAAAATGGCGGCCGCAACCTGCCCTCCATTTGGAACGGCACCAGAGGCTTCGAGGAGAAGATTACCGGTGCTGGAAGCAGATGCTATGGCAGTGCTAAGCGCTGCACCGAAAGTGAATTCAGTAAGGCAGCCTCCGAATGGCAGGGAAGAAAAACAGCTTGTTTAGATTTTGTTGGCTCCGACGGCAACCAAAATGGCATCCGCGGGTGTTCCCAGCTGCCGGAGATGATCCGGAGGCCCTGAATTCAACTAAGAATCTCAAGCCTGCAGCACGAGATTATGTCCAGTTTGCAAAAACGGGGGGAGAATGAGGGAAATCTAAGGCAAGTCTGCCAGAATATTTCCCCAGAGCCCTGGGGAAAATAAGGAACTGAGAGCTGCAGAAGCCTTCCCCACCTCCCACTCCCCAATTCAGTGATTTAAGGTAGCACTGATCCAGTGCTAAGGAAAATTTTAAGGGAGGATTCCAATTTAGAATTTACAAATTAAGGGAAGATTCCAATTAATATTAATCAGAGGAAAAAGGAGAATACACCAATGGATTTCTAACCTGCTATCTGTTGAGAGCCAAACCTGATACGTTTTCAAGAGCTGAGACCAAGTTAAGACTGGATCTCCTAGCAAGACGGGGGCGTGTCAAGTTTGGCTACTTTGTCTCAAGAGCAGGCAGACAGAGAAAACCCATTGGTGGATTCTCCATCTCCTGTACTGGAGAATGTTTATTTCAACCTCTTTGTGAAGCATGTTCAGTTTCTATCACAATTAACTTCAGCTGTTCTTTAAAATTCAAAACATTTTGGTAAAGTTGGTCAATAAGAAAAGTTTTTTCAATTTTGTGTTAGGTTTTACATTTCAATCTTTCCCAAATAACCCTTTCCAGGCCTCAGAGTGTTATAAGAGAATGAAGAACAATACAACATTTGTCTTTGATGAAGATTAAAAGTTAATATATATTCTGTGTAACAGAATGTACAGAACATGTTGGAACCAATAAAAATTGCACAAGTTTCAGTATTATGCACAAGCATAGGCATCTAAAACTAGTGGAAAACTGTCAACTACCTGTTCAATGCAGATGAAGGATCAGAGGATCAGAATTAATTAAAACTAAATATCCAGTCACACACCTGTATTCAAGAGCATCCACTGTACTGATAGATTCCAATCTATTTAGATATGCACACGGAAGACTATTTCTGTCAATTGAGAAGTGTATTTGGAAATAACAAAATCATACGGAATTCTTTCTAAACAAGCACATTTAGGAATGGACTTTTCATTTAATTAAATAAGTCTATTTTATCAACACTGCCAGATTAAAATTTCACTGTAGTCATACATTCATATGTCCAGATACTTTTTTTTTTCAGTTTATCCTACACCAAAGTGTGAATGTTTAATATTGTTAGGAATGTACCGGTATTTGAACATGGATTTAAATCTCACTTATTTTAATGAATGTCTGATAGTTTAGACAAAGATTATAAAAGGCTACTCTCAGAAAATATAATTAACTGTAACATAGATTAGCAGAATAGTCAGCACTCATAAAGATTACCCCCAGTTAAATCACAGTAAAGACCTGCAGGTTGAATCAGTCAACTAAATTTAAAAGATGAAAAAAAATTAATCAGGAATGCAGCTAAAATCCTTAACACATTGGCAAGCTTCATATAGATGTTATCCTCAGATTACTTATGATCTTCAATTAAATATTAAAAATATGGGTAAGGAGATGGAACAGTTCCCATATGTTTTTACTATGCCAGACACATATGATTCCTATCCTACTGTAGTTCAAGAGGCTATGTTATAAGCCAGTAAAATTAAATGCTTATAAGATATCAGCAAAAATGAGTCATATTTTCTCTGTTCTCTCAACTTTTATTGTTCATCAGAACAGTCAAAGATATTTTGGTCCAAAGCCATTCTAAAAGCCAAACAAAAATGGTTTTATTAATATATGCCTTCCAAGAATATCAGGAATTTATTTATTTTATTTTATTAGATTTTTATCCTGCCTTTATTATTTTTTAAGTAACTCAAGATAGTGAACATTCATAATACTTATTCCTCTTCCTTTTTTTTGCCACAACAACTTGTGAGGTAAAAATTGGGCTGAAAGATTGAGACTGGCCCAAAGTTATCCAGCTGGTTTTCATACCTACGATGGGACTAGAACTCACAGTCTCCTGGTTTCTACGCCAGCACCTTAACAACTATGTCAAATTAACGTGTAAGTATTATCCAACTTCAAGAAGAATTTTTAGGAACAATTTCATACTTCCCTTTTTCAGTAAGTCAGTCCTTATGACCCAAATCCAATGTTTCCAGCCATTTCTCCATATAAGATACATATAATCTGCCAAAAAGGACAAGGGTAATATAAGCAGAAGGCTGTACACAATCTTTCATCCACCTTTAAGACTACAATAATTGAAATAAATCAAAGCAAAAATAATCAAAACAACTGGGGAAAGGACATCTACACTGTAGCCAATGTATCTGATAGCTTGGAATGACTGTGAGCTATTTTATTCGGAAAATGTTCTGCAAATATGTCGTAACGTGGAGATAAGGGCAAATAACAATAAATTATTTTGGAAACTCACAAGAAAAAGCTTACTGCTGAAAGCATTGATAAAATTCACTGGTGAATCTTTGACAATAACCCTATAAAGTAAGCTCTATAATAGCTGTTCCCAGCGTAAGACCTATCTGATATGTTGAACTACAACTTCAATAGCCAACTCTATGTCTCCACCACATCTAGAAGACACCAATTTAGGAGTACATCTTAAAGTAACAAGCTTAGTCATATTTGTTCTAGATGTACTTTAAAAGAGTTTATACTTATAAATTCAAGAAGAGGCATAAGGAAATAATCAGTATTCATCATTCTACATAGGCTATATATTATAGAAATTAACAATGTTATCCTCTACAACAAAGAAATTATTTTTATCATCCTTACAAAAATAATTATATTACAATAACTTTTGGACACTAATGGACTTTAGTAATCCCAAATTATTATACCAACAAAGGAAACATAAATAAAAACTAGCTAGTCACAGCCATTCATTAAATTTAATCTGTGTTTTACAACAGTAGTAGCTTTCTTCAGGCTCAATCAGAAATCTAAAAAAATGGTTACTTTAATGAATTATAAAGATGTATCTTGTGTATCAGAATACCCTTGTTAAATGATGGTGCAAGATACACAATTCCAATGAATCAGTTAAACAGCAGTGAGTATGTTTTAAAATGTGATATATATTGTTACATTTCTTTTGCCTTTCTTTGTTAATACCACTGCTTTAATTCTCATACTACTGACGGTTCAATTTGTTATTACTATAATAATCATGGCAAAACCTATTTCTCTCATTAGAGCTGTAGACAGTGTGTGTGTGTGTGTGTGTGTGTGTGTTCAAGAGGGAGAGAAGAAAGGAGGGAGGGAGAAAGAGAGAGTTTTTGTGTGTATTGTACATACATTTGGAAATGAAGACATCCTGTATGCATGTTTGTTGAGAATCCATAATAAGCTATAAGTCTCTGCTGAATGGATGATGATGATGATACTCCCTGCAAATAAGGGATGTATAAAATCATAGTGAATGATAGAGTGATGGAAACTCTGAAATTTCAAACTAAAGGTTTTTAAATTTTGCAATTAGCATGTATTAGATCATAAATCAATTACATTAATATGTGTTTCACATACAGTAATGTGAAGACTTGCCTAGAAATTTCTGTTGGGCTGTTTTCTGTTCAGGTATAATGTAATGAAGTAATAGTTGCTTTTAATTAAAAACAGAGAAGATATGTATGGAGTGTAAAGAAGGTAATCTATGCACAGGTGACAAAATATGCAGCTATTAGCTCTGTATAGAAAAGAACTCGGAGTAATTGCTACCATGGCTTCCCATTCAATTCTGCCAACTTGTTTTATGGCTTTGGATTTCTCTTTAAGCCTGAGACTTAGTTATTTTAACTGAAAGCTTAGGTAAGATTTCAAACAGGCAGATCAAACATAAAACTGAATACAGAAGTATAAATCAAGAAAGAGTACAAATATATCGCAATGTATTTGGCAATATCATAAGGACAATCCCAAGGGCAATTGTTCTGGAACCGTTGTACTGCCACCAGTCTGCTAACATGGAAATATTTGAATAGTAGTATTGTTTGTGTGATTTGGTGCTTCTGATCAGGAGCTATATGTGCTTGAAAAACCAATATTGATATCAGAGGAACAGATACAACCAATAAAACATTCTGAATAGCCAAATGATTTATATGAATGATGTGTTTTTATGTTAGTGAAACATGAATTTGTTACTTCATTTTTAAAAGTAAATTATTTTCTATCATCTACACTTACTTTAAAAAGTTCATTAATTTAAAACTTTTATTAGAGCTGTAGAAAATGAAAATTGATAAAAAAATTCTAAAGCCTATAATTGTCAGAAATGGAGGTAGTCATTCTATTAGGTTAAGATGAATTAATTACTCCTGTGTTTCTAAAAACACATCTAAGCTTGTGAAATCACTGGTAGAAGGTTCATTTTTTAAGGTATCCTACTTTGACAGCTATAATGGTGATAAACAAAAAGTGAGGAATCAAAAGGCCTGGCACAAATAATATATTATATACAGAACATTGGTGTCATTTACACACACACACACACACACACACACACACACACACACACAGTCAGTATAGCAACTACATTAAGGAGAAAAGAACCAAATTTCAAGGAAATGTAACAGACTGCAAACCCAGAACATGTTTCAATGTTGTATTAGTGAAAGGATTTCCCCAGGATCACCCCAAAGTTCAAAATGCATTCAAATTCTTATTCCTATTCATAGATAAAATTCAACTGTATCAAACAATCTGCTGTTTTAAAATCATTTTTTCTGGTACCTCCAAATGGTTTTCTCTCCATTACAGAGATGTCATTAGTCTTCTAGTGATTTTCTTTGTACAAAATTTCCTTGGTGGCCATAATATAGTTTATTGTTTACTTTATCTTTCTTTGATGAACCTGAAATTCCCAGGACAAAACAACAATTCTCATGGTTGATTTCACCAAATTATCTTTTAGGACAAGTTATTTTTATTAAATTGTAACATGTTTGACTATTTTGAACTTATTTCCCTATATTCCACCTTATTCTAGATATTATATCCTTTCCCACACCAATTTGGTATCCCCCAGATGCTACTGATCCAAATCTAATGAGAAGAGATACAAAAAGATAATCTTAGGCTAAAGACTTAATTGGAGATGCTCTTTAGATGATAATACACATTACTTCATTCACTTCAAAATGGGTAAGTTTAACCCTGCTTCATTTGGAAGTCCTCCTGCTCATTCAGCTAAATGGGATTTCAGATTTCTGCCCTAACGTTTAAATGAATTGGCATGTAATACTTGCTTTTCTTCAACCATGCTGCTTCTTACTCTATGATTAGAATTTCGTAGCTATATATTAATTTCCCTTTTGGTTTTCAATGCACCTCCCTTAATAGTTTGTCAAGAAATAATTAAATATCCTAATTCTTATAATTGGCATTCCCACTGTCTATCCTTGTTATGCCCCACAGTATGAATCTATACTTTTCAAGCATTTATGTTTGTGAGTGGTATTCTGTATGCAAATGTTCAGAATTGAGACTGGTATTCTTGGTTTTGTCATTATTAATTTTAGCCATCTCATTTCTTTATAAATCTTTTGAATCTCCAGATTATTGTCTGGCCAATCACCCAAATCAGAAGACACTGGGCAGTGTAAAACAAAGTAGTCATATAAAAAACAAAACATTAAAACTAATCATCTGACCCCCCAAATGCCCATATAAAATTAATTTGAGCTAGAAGCAGACTAGAATAGATTAGGAAAGAAGATACTATATGAACCTCCAAGGTAAGCAAGTTACAAATCATGGAGGTCATTACAGAAAATTACTGGTAATTAAATGTTTTTTTTTAAATCAATCATTAAAATAAAATTAAAACAGCTGTATATAACTGAAATCTCAATTCTCAATTGTTTGATGAAACAGACAGGTTTTTTACCTGTTTCCGAAATAATAAAAGCGTGGGGGCCATCTGGATCATGAGGAAAGGAGGTAGCATGTTCCAGAGACACAAGGGCACCACTGAAAGTTTCTATGTTCTTATCCCTTAAAATGTAAATAGCACCAAATAAGCCCTTCCTGTGCTGCTCAAACAGGGCACATAGATTCTATCTGAAAGTGATAATCCCTTGAGTAATCTGGACTCAAATTAAATAGCCTTTAGTAGGTCAAAACAAGCACTTCGAGTTGTACTCGGAAACAAACTGGTAACCACTGGATAACTGACCATAGGAGTACTGCTAAAGTGACTTTCATTAACCACCTGTACCTGCTAAAGGCAGTCTTCAAAGGCAGCCCCAAATAGAGCAACTGAAATATTCAAGTCTCAAGGCAAAGTCATGTGTAATTGTTTCTAGCACCTCCTGGTCCAAAAAACCCCCATGAACCACAGTCTATACTTATTGATTCAGTAGGTGCTCTGAATTCAGGAAAACCTCATGTCATGGACTTGGCATTTCAGAAGGAACATGATTACATCCAGAAACAGCATAAGGATCAACTATATTACTTTGTCTTTCTAAGACTCAGTTGCAATTTGTTTTGTCCTATCCAATCCTATTACTGCTTCCACGCCCCAGGTGAGGGCACTTACTAAATCTTCTGTCTAGCCCAGAATAGAAACAAAGAACTAGATATTGATGATACCTCAACCTTGAAAGGATGCATGATGTCACTCAGTAATTTCATTTACATGCTTAACAGTATGAGGGAAAGAGGTGAGCCCTGTGCCCTGCCCCACCCTGTGATTCAGAGCTTGGTCCTTTCCAATCACTGCCAACTGAACTGCCTATTTATAGCCTGCCATGAAATTTCAACAGAGGGGAGTGAGTACCCATGTTGGTGAATCCTCTCAGTCAAGGAAAGAGAGCTTCAGAAGGCAACTGCTGTTAAATAGTTCTAGCCCCAAAGGCTGAGACAATGCACTGTGGCCAATTCAGATCACTTGGGAGGGTCTCAACTGGCACATGGCCTGTCATTCTTATATAGCATTAAATGTTACAGCCTAGTGGTACCAAACTCTCACCACATCCAGGATCCCATGGAGAAGACTTCTATTACATCCTTCCATTACTGGCTCCTTGCTACTGCTTCAAGTGCAGACATCGATTTGCATTTCAAAAATTGGTAATTTACCCATTGCTAGGAAACTTTGCTTAAATCATGCATAGGCCATTGAAAAGAAGATAACATTGCACTTCTAGATAAAAGTGTATCTACCAGATTTTAAATTATGGTTTAATGAAATTTGTTAATTCTCAGCATTTGAATTAGCTGGATCATTCCAGGTTAGTAACTCTCATTCTGTTCTAGGAAGGAGGAACTGGCAAACATCTTCTGAAAAAAACTTGCCAAGAAAACTACAAGGATTAGTCCAGGCAATTGCCTTTAGTTAAAAAGCTAATTCAAAGGCACACAAAAAGTCTAATGTAGATCATCATCTACCTTGACTTTGAATTGGTGAGCAAATCTTAGATAGGATTACATTTACCACCTTCACTCAATCAGTTCAGAGTTATGCCTCCTCCAACCAATTCACAAAGGATAAAGATCTTATTATAAGCAGATTTGGCATTCACTAAATGCAAGAAATAGAGGGACCAGAGGAGAGGCAGATGGATTAGAAGAAGGGACAGGCAATTTCCCCTTTCCTTGAAAAGCAAGATGATTACTGTCATATCTCCTTCTGCCTGTCAGTTCAAAAATGTGCCTAGCTGCTCTCATAACACTTGGTGCCATTCTGGATCCTCACCTACATTCAAATTTGGGGCCTACCTATATCAATAGTTATCTAATTTTTTACAAAATTCAAATATTGCAAATGTTGCATTTTGAATCTCTAAATTTAACATTCAAGAGATAGTTGTTCCTTTATTAAGGCAGGTTATCTTTTAAGAAAAAGAGTTTTCAGAGGTGTGGTGTGTGTGTGTGTGTGTGTGTGTGTGTGTGTGTGTGTGTGTCTGCTTTCTCAGCCATTACTTTCTCCAGACACCCCCAATCAGTCTGCTTCTGTTAATCTTGGCAGGGTTTATTTGTACTAAATCAGTTATATCCCTTGAAATGACACATCAACAGATATACTATGTTCAAAGAAATCTTGGGAGCCATAACCTTCCTGAAAGCATTCCAGGGTAAGTAAATTAATCAGGCTTGTAAAACTAAGGACAAGACTTTTTTTTAAATAAATCCTGTTAGAAAATTATAGATTGATAAACAGCTAATAACTTTCCTTTAGGAAACACTCACCTATAATGTTTTGTGGCATATTTGATTATTTGTCAGAATAACTCACTCTGAATCATTTTTGCCAAATATAAATAATGATACTATTTTAAGTTTAGGAATTGTTCGTGCCAGTGTGACAGAAACATACAATGTATCAGGCTTTCTACAGAGATCCCCAACGATAATGCCAAAAGAAAGTGGCTCTTTGGAAAAA